TATTTATATCTTCTTTTTTTTAGACAAAATTTTAAAATTTAATATATTATCACACTATCAGCCTAGCATCAGCCTAGCATCGGCCTATGATATTAGGAAGATATTTTATTAAGCATTCAGTTATCTTATACCCGATTTTATAATATTTGTTTTTATATAAATCACCTTTGTATCAACCTATTATATTAAAAAATTTCGACCAGTGTTAAATAGTATAATTATTAAATAAGTTTAATGAATTTTTTGTTTCAACTTTTTCTTAGTCAAGAATAGATTTTATGCAAGCTAGCTTATCAAATAGCATATTAATTATAAAACTTTAATGGTTTAATAAAAATTTAGCAAGTACTTATTAGATATTGCACCCAAAATTCTGGTTAAAATTAAGCAATTGCTATACTTATTCTGGCTAACATCTAGCATAATATTCCTCTTCTTCTAGTTTTATCAGATAGAGGCATTCCTTGCAAAGAGTAATAATAAGATTTGCAAGCTCAACTATTATTTCCTCATAAGTTCTTTTCTGTGTTTTTGATTGAAGTCTATCATAGTATTGGATAACATAATAGCCTCTAATATGTAATAGGTATTAGCTATAAGCAGAAGTAGTTGGCTTTCTACAATCAGAACACGATATTCAAATTTTTGATTTCCAATGAAATCTGCATCCTTCAGGCCTAATACAAACTCTCCTACAAACCTTTCTGGTATTGCAAAGAAATGGGCAAGAATATTCACCGATCATTCTATTTTTTTAACACAATTTCAAAAGATTAATTAATAAATAGTTAATATTTCAGTTCCTCTAATTTGTTGACCTGTAGAATGAGAAATTAGCTGTGAGCTATATAAAAAAAAGTAGCTAGAATCATTTTGGCAAGCCTGAAAATATCACCTTAAGTAACAACTCTATAATTGAGAAGTGAAAAAAAGAACTAATTAAAAAAAAAATTTTATAAGCAAGTAATAGTGCAAAAGTAAGAGCTAATTATATACCAAATTTCAGATGCCTATCTTGATTATATCGAAGAAATAAGTATAGAGATAGCTGATTTCAATCCAATTGGTCCTACTGCTCATATACCTTTATCTAAAACTTTGCCTAAATATAATAATAGAATTATTAATATTCAAAATAATGATGACTAGTATTTCAGATAATGTGTCTTAGGAGTTTTGTATCTAGTTAAAATTTATCCAGAAAGAAATCTACATTGGCTATATGGAGGTTTTGTGAAGAAACTTAATATGGATGATATCCTAATTCAAGTACTAGTCTCAACACTAGTTTATAAAAAGTTCGAAGCAAGTAATTTAGAAATTAGTCTTTGTATTTATAAATAGCATAACCAAAATAAATGTCTTGATTTTCACTATGTTTCAGAAAGAAGGGGGGAAGAATATAAACAAGTAAATCTTCTAGTAATTACGAAAAATAATAGAAGCCATTACTACATTATCAAAGATTTACATAAGTTGGTATACAATTATAGCAAACATAAAAAGCGAAAATACCTCTGCAGTTATTGTCTTCATATATATTCCACAAAAAAAGAATTTAAGGAGCATTTACCAAAATGTAAGGGTTTAAATAATACTCCTTAATGACCCCAAATGCCAATAAAAAATAAAAGTATCAAAGCTTTCTATAATCATAAACATATACAACCAAATCCATATTACATTTTCTGGGATCTAGAAATATTAACCAAAAAGTTAACTCTAGAAGAAAAAACAAAGCTAACTCATACTAAAATATTACAGATACACAAGCCATGTAGATACTGCTACGCAGTAGTTTATATGGACAATTCATTTAATTATGAGATAATAAGTCATAATATATATAGAGGCTCTAATATCTTAGAAAAATTTGTTAAGAGAATCAAAGGAGAGCTTTTAAATATTCAGGCAAATTTATCCACACCTGCAGAAATGATAATAGCACCAGGAAATTTTAAAACATATAATAATGCGACAGAATACTGGGTTTGCAAGGGATCTTTTTAAAACCAGCACCAGAGGTAATACAAAAACTCAAAGAAGCAAAGAATAATTTATTAGAAATCAAAGAATAGGAATCATGCATGGAAAAGAAACATTCTAAAAAGAAAAAGGTACAGAAAAAATACTGAGAAGCTTTAAGTGCACTTAATTGAAAAGTAAAAAATCATATAAATAAAAACTATCAAGGCCCAGCTTATAACTCATATAATAAAAAGTTACACATAGGCTCTTTTGAAACCAAAATACCACTTATCTGTTATAATTTTTGAGGTATGACTCTTATCCGCTCATGAAAATTGTGAGCAAGTTTACAGCTAATAAGCTCAAATACATTCTAGAAAATATTAGCAAATATAAGGCCATAGATATAGGTTAGCTTTGATTCTTAGATGTTTGCAACATATAGCAATAGAACTTGATAAATTAGTTGAATGCCTAGGAGAAAAACTTGAAAAATTTTCCTTAACTATCAAGTACTTTACTAAGAAAGGTTATTTGATAAACAAGATTAAGCTTCTTTTCTAAAAATGTGTATTTCTATATGATTGGACAAATTCATGAAATAAATTTGATAAAACAAACCTTCCACTAAGAAAAGATTTTTATTTGATTCTTAGCTAGCAAAATATCAGCGAGGAAGATGCAGAAATTTGAGATGAAAAATTTTGAAGAATATCATGATTTATATCTTAAAACAGATGTACTTTTACTTGTAGATGTTTTTATAAACTACACTATCATGTGTTTAAAAAATAATGGTTTAAATCCTTCTTATTATATATCTATATCAGAAATGTTTAATGATTCTCTATACAAAAGTAGTAAAACAAAACTTAAGCTTATAACAAATATAAATGAGTATTTAATAGTTGAAAATAGAATTTATGAAGGCATGACAATAGCAAGTCATCAATATGCCAAAGCAAATAATCCACAATATCCAGACTATAAACCTAGCAAGCCAAAGTTTTGGATCTTATATGAAGATATGAATGCTTTATATTCAGATGCAATGACCCAATACATGCTTACAAAAATCCTAGAAGTAGGCAGCACTATATATATAGTGCTGCCTACTTACATTAGACTGTTACCTACTTATGAGAGTGACGAACAATTC